GTGAGCTTGAGAGCTGTACTCGAAGTAGAGGAGAGGAGAAGAACACCACTGGTATGCTGTGAATGTCGACCCAGTCGACCATGCTATTATTTATATTTGACTGTAGTACAATGATACAAGTAATTACTGGAATGCCCCTGATTAGTGATGGGGCACCCAGTTAACTTAAAACATTAAACAGGCTTAGGCCCAGTTATAGGATAACTTAAACTTAAGTATGGGCTAAATAAGAACTCTTATCAGCTGAACACTCATGCAAAGAGATTTCATTCTAACACATATGATGGATCTCTCATCCCTTCAACTGAGACCTAAAAATGAAATTATTTGGTCCAATATTTTGAGTAGGGGTACACTACCAGATTTAGATTCTATGATGGGAGAATTGCTGGGAGAGGAGACTAGACTTATGACTGCTGCAAATCTGGAAGGGAAGCAATTTGAATCTGGGGCTGAGACAGTTTTTAATGCACAAGGGAGTAAGAAATCTGGTGGAAAGGATATGTCTAAAACCCAATGTTATGAATGCAAAGGTTTTTGACATATTGCTTCACACTGCAAGAAGAAGAATGTTTGCACATATTGTAATCAACATGGTCATATCATTCCAAATTGCCCTGTTCATCCTTGTAAAGGTATTATAAAGAAGAATTAGCCATGGGCTTACCAGGTATTTGAAGGACAGACGATTGATGTTCCCAGTGTCAAAGGTGAATCTTCTGCTCCCATGAATAGGAAAGAGATACGAGAACCGGTATAGTCTGCTATCTCATCTACATTTTCTGTTATTGGCTTATCTGGTGAGTTCTCTGGTTATTGTTCCTCTTCCTCTCATGTTTGGATAATTGATTTTGGGGCTACCAATTATATGATTGGAGCCTACCCCGAACCATCAAATAAATCTTCAGAAACCCATTGTAAGCATATTGTTGCTACTAATGGCAAGAAATTGAATATCATTGGGAGTAATTATTTGTGTTTAAAGCTCTCACCCTCGGCTTCCCTTTCCCTTACCAAAACTTTCTTTGTTCCCAAGCTTACCACTAACTTTGTTTCAGTTGGTCAATTGGTTAATGAAGGTTACATTCTAACTTTTTCTTCTGATGGTTTTTCCATTCAGGATCAGTGCACTGGAAAGGTGAAAGGGAAGGGGTGTAGACTGGGCCCCTTGTTTGCACTAGAATTCGAGGGATCTCAATCAGCGCAATCATTTGCTTATTTTAGTTTTTCTTCATTGATGAATTCCGGTTTAGGTTAAAGAAATGACACTTGGGATTTATGGCATAAAGTTTGGGTTACCCAAACTCTGAAAAACTTAAATTTTTGTTTGACTCTGGTTTCATTAGAAATAAAATTCCCTCCTTGCAAACTTTTGATGCATCTTGTGTTACTTGTTGTTTGAGTAAGAATCATACCTTGCCATTTCCTCACAAAGTTGAACATGCTACTTCGCCTTTTGAAATTATACATAGTGACATGTGGACTTCCTCTGTTGTTTCACGATTAGAATACAAGTATTTTGTACTGTTCATTGATGACTACACTAGGTACACTTGGATCTACTTGCTTAGACACAAGTTAGAAGTTTTTCCAACCTTTTG